GTTTGCATCTGAGCCTCTAAGTTCGCGTACTCCCTTAGTAGGCCTGTTACTGCACGGAACAGCACATTTATCATTTTCCCTTTTTCCATTTAATTAGGCCCCACTTCGTCTTGTGACGGGCCTCAGTTTCTAAATTCTCCCAGAGCTGAACGAGGAGCTCATGGCCCCGCGACTCAAGCACCAAGTCCGGACAGTTGAACCAGTCCGCGTTGGGGGGGGGTGTTGGGTTCCCCTCCTTCTCTTAAGTATAGAGTGCATTGAGCGAACTCCTGAGCAGGGGTCAGCTTTTCTGCCTTCCGCGCTTTCACCCAGCTAGGGCTTTGACTGATGTTTCCTCCGGGGGCCGATAATAGACCCGGTCGCTCCCCATTATGCATCCGAACTCCCCAAGGGATAGCTTTGTTCTCCACTCTTTCACTACTGCTTCTTCTCTCTTTACCGAGAAGTAGCCATCAATATTTCTTTCATCCCCTTCTACCGCCTGGTGGTAAGCGATATGCGCCCATAGATCATTTGCATTCCCTACGCGGCGTGTCCCAGTGCGCCAGAGGCAGCACCCGATCAGATTCATCTCTATCACCGTGCCCTTAGATCCCATCCTCGTCGCCATGTCTCGGACGGCCAACTTATCGGTTGCAAAAAACTTTACTCACGCCGCTTGCAATCACGACGCAGGTGATCCGGTCGTCTGAACAACCACACGAGTTGTTCCAGTTGGCGGGGCCCAAGCCAGTCAATCCATCCGCAATTCAAGCCGGTGGGAAAAGGGTACGCCTGGGATTGCGCTCGGCGATGGGAAGAAAGATCGATAGGTGATCAGTCTATCGATCAGCTAGCCGCAAGTCAGATCTCTTTAGAGGCACTCTGCAGCGTGCTCAAAGTTCTTCGACTTGGGCGGAAGTCGCGCGGAATTTTAAACGGCCAGCGAGCCAATTACTAGCCGTCACGTGTGAATAATTTAGCACTGGCCAATAGCGGGACACAAATTTGCATTCGAATAGCGGGAACTCTTTGCACCGTGCATTTCTGTGCTGCAAAGAAGAAATGCACCCTGCAAAGAAGGCTGCAAATTGGCGGGAACTCTCTTGCACCGAGGTTTCTCTGTGCAGCAAAACCCTCGCTGTGCAAGAGGCTCTCATGTGGCAAGAAAATCCCATTGTGCCGAGGCACCAAAAATCACTGGGTTGTGACAATTACAAGCTGTCAACATCTTTGGCCAGTATTTCCCGTAGTTACTAGTATACAACATGCTACATGACAATTCATTACCATCCCTTATACAACAACGTAACTGCATTCTTTGTTACATACAAGGGCGTTACTCATTTTTGGAGGTCAGAAGACAGTACATAAATTGAATAAATAGGTTATTATTACCATTGATCTCACTTTCTAGATTACACTCAGCAATGACTGATCATTTAAATAGTTCAGTTGCATATTAAGTTAGTTATTCTAGCATGCTTCCTACAAAAAGCAGGAGGAAGCTAAAGCAATTCATACAAAAGTCTTGCTTACAACATGTCAATGAGCAAATAGTACTATTCTTTTTAATGCCTTGAAAACAACTCTGTATTTGAATTCAATCGACAGCTGCAAATTCACTCTACAAGGTAATGCATCACCAATCTGAGTAACTACATTAAAGATAAAAGAAATATTGTAGAATTTTACTTAAGCACTCTCTCATCACATATTCTACCATCCCATGGAAACAAATTTTTAAAGGATCTATTTAACAAAATTGAAGATGGCTGTTTTAAGTGCTGTGGTAATCTGTTGCTTGTATTCTTAGTTATAAATCCTACAGATCAGATTGTGTTCTTCCAACATTGAAACCCAGAATAACTTTCCTGTGGTTTTAAGAGAGTAAATTAGATGAGATTCTGGCCCTCAAAAAAAATGAGAAAAAAAATGTTAAGGAGACCAAACAAGGCTGATTTATTATGTATGTGTAAAGCTGGATGTGGGAGTTTGATGGGAACTCTGCAACCTAAAAAGGAAATGAAATTCAGAGTGGTGTTGAGAAATTGATTTCTTGTTGTGAGAAGAAATGTTTTATCAATACGCACCTGCCATTATCCATCCTCATGTCCAAAGGGCCATCCTTTCTCAGGGAAAAACCTCTTTCTGGAGTATCAAGTTGCATAGAGGAACACCCAGCATCCAAAAGAACTCCATCTAGAGTCCTTGGCTCTACTCCAGATGAGACTAACAAGGTTTCTGCTTCGGTAAATTTTCCTAGAAGAGCCCGAATCTGATTCCTGTGAGAGAATCATAGACAAAAAGACTCAGTCTTAATCCAAGGTAGCATTTCCTTCCTACAAAAGAAATTAGCAAAGAAGTAAAATTTACAGTATTTAAGTGATTTAGGCGCATAAGAGTCTCAAAAATTTTCAATAGAACTTTCTTTGAAAGTTGCTGTAGAAATTTTTCAATATTTTACCTTAGATCTAATTTTCCTCTTGAATCAGTTTTACACCAATGTAGTTCGACTGGCTGTAATCCCACTGGTGATTAAAATAAATGAGTAGGAAAAAAATAATAAAAAAACCCATGAAGTCCTCTCGTGCTCTTTTGTAGGTCCCAACCCAGTGATTAATTTAAACTACAACCATATGAATTGTCCACAGGCCTGATCAGTTTTCTTTAAATACGGTGACATATAAGCAGGGTGCCAAACTGATTAGATTAGAAAGTTGCTATTCTGATATGGAGATTTTCCTAATACAGCATATATTTATTTGTATCATGAGTAGATCTACATGACTTTTTATATATGCATCTTCACACACCACACTGAAGTTTGGTAATCTGATAATGTTACTATTTACATCTGACATCATTAAAAAACAAAGAATTCTGTTCTAGTAGATCACATTTCTTTTATAGTCAGCCTTTTGAATTCTGATTTTCTTCAAATCCACCTGTGTGCAGACCATTTTAAGGACAGTATTTTAAGACATTTAGGTTTTTTTACACTCTATATAGAGGTATAAATGAGCATTCATTCCTTTACTAAGATAAAGGGAATAGTAGGACTTGATTATCTTTTACATGATTGTTACCCTGCATTTTACATCAGGGTGGTGATACCGGTGATAACTGTGATGGCATGAATAACACATGAAAATGTTGTGTTTCTAAAATAAAAGTACAATTCCTTTTTTTTTTAAATTCACTATTTTTTATTAAACAAGCCAGGCTTATTGCAAAGTTATTAAAAAATATTTCCCTCTTCTACCCCCACTTTACCATTACAGTTGGCATGTATGTTTAAATATCAACATCCTATTAAGCGCACACTTTTCTGTCAGGACCAAATGGCCTTTAGGCTATATGCTCTGAATGTTTAATTTAGACTCAACTTCTTTTCCTTCAGCTATTCCTGTTCACATCATCTAGAAGTCTTTTATTTCCAGAAAAGCATCTATGTCAGCCATATAAATAAAACACTATGAATGCCATATAAATCTACCCACACCCTTCAGCATTTCTTTTTCCTGTTATGTGTCACAACCCAAAGTTGTGGGTTTTTTTGTTTGAGTGTGCTTCGGCATCGCTAAATCATGTTCCTGCCAAATTGCAGCTCTTTTGCACAGTGGAGTGTTCTGCTGCAACAGAGAACCCGTGTGCAGGAGCTTTTCCCGCTAGTTCTGTGGCTTTCTTTGCATAGTGCATTTCTTTTGCATTACAGTAATGCACAATGCAAGGAGTCCCTGCCATTTGTATTGGGATTCGCGCCACATTATTGGCCAGTCTTAATATAGGCACATGTGACGGCTAGCTATTGGCTTGCTAGCCGTACAAAAGGCTTGGGTGGTTTCCGCCCAAATCAGAGAGAGAGAAAGCACGTGGAGTTCGGGAAAGGAGCGTGCTCTAAGCGCTGCTGATCCATACGAACCCAGCTTTTTCCTTAAGAGGGCAACAGAGGTTTAATTTGTTGAACCCACGGAGCTTCAACAACTCCGCGGGACTTATTTACCGTCCCCTCGGAGCCTTAACGACTCCGAGGCAACTAACCTCTAGCCTCTCCCCGTCGCCGATCGCAGCCCAGACGTATCCCTATCCTAAGGACCCAATTGTCGAGCCCACGGAGTTTAACAGCTCCGGGGGACCTGGGAACCGAGTAACACTCACGGAGATACAGCTGCTCCGTGGGAATGAATTCTTGAACCCCGTGGAGCCTGAATCACTCCGTGGTCAAGGAACCGAGTTTGTTGGAGTCCTACACCGAAAACTCAAGTGGAGCTGAGCCTGGAAAGCTGACCAGCCTACACCGCGACCACCTTGGGTGTAAGTAAATAATCTTTTCAATCAACCATTACGCCTCTGTGACTGATTCTAGCTAGAGCGTGCCATACCGCACCGCGGTCTTTTCCAACCCTGTGTATCCGGGCTACCGGCCACAGCCTGTGTACACACAAGAGACGGGCCCGGCTCGCCCCCGGCTCGCACATGGCGACCCAAATGGGATCGAAAGAGAGCTCGCACATGGCGACCCAGGCGAGATCGGAAGTCGGCCCGCACATTATGTACAGACCATATACATATTTTGTTGTCCCCTGTGAATGGATTTTCCTCTTTACATGCATGTATTTTTTCTTGAATATAGCACATTTTTTCCAGTGTGTTAATCTGGAAAATAGAAAACTGTTTCCAGACCCTAATCACTTGACTACAGTGTGAAAAATGGTTCCAGAATACCCTCCATATATTTCAAGGAGCATTTAGACATTTATAATGAGAATATATGTACTAAGTTTTATTAATGCAGTGGATGCAGCTCTGTGCTTCCTTTATGATGGGTTCCACAGATAGTTAAAGGAACAAGTACAATAGGTAAAATAATGTTCTAGATAAGAAGCGAAATAAATCAACAAAATTTAGAATCACAAAAAGGTGTGACCTTAAACCCAGACATGGTGGCATGGATTTATAAGAGGAGGAGACATCACACACGTATACACTCACATTATAGACAGACAGACAGAATTTAGTGTCTCCCTGTCAAAAACTGACCAAAGTGTATGGATCGGCTGATCTGGGAGAATCAGGAAACTGGGGTTGGACATCTGGATGACATGGCTGACCCAGTGAAGTTGATAACGGATGATGATTGCCGCAATGCTCATGGTGTTTACTTGCGAGGGGATGCTAACATCGGTATATCTGTCTTCCCACCAGATTTGAAGGATTTTTTGCCTTGATGGTACTTCTCCAGTAACTTGAAATGTCTCCTGTACATTGTCCACATCTCAGATCCACGCAGTAAGGTGGGGATCACAACTGCTTGATAAACCATGAGCTTGGTTTCAGATTTGATGTTGTGATCTTCAAACACTTGTTTCCTCAGGCATCTGAAGGCTGCACTTGAGGCAGTGTTGGATTTCTTCATTGATGACAGCCTTCTGTGAAAGATGGCTTCCGAGATACAGGAAATACTTGACGTTCTCCAAGAGTCTCACCAAGAATCTGAATTACCAGAGCTGGGGACTGCTCATTAAGAACTTATTGATGAAGCTTAGCTTTCTGAATGTTAAGCACCAGTCGCATTTTTGTATGCCTCAGTAAAGATGTCATCGATTGCCTGAAGGTCTGCTTCTGAGTGAGCACACACTAAAACATCATCAGCTTACTGAAGCCTCTTAATTGAGGTCAGGGTGATCTTGGTCTTCGCTCGGAGTCATCTAAAATTCAACAGCTTACCATCCACTAGGGAGTTTAGCTCCAGTCCAGCTAGTAGCTGTTGGTGGTCAGAGGTAGCATTACAGTAAGGAATAATGAGAAGAGTACTGGAGTGATGACGCAGCCTTGCTTAACTCCAGTCTTAACCTCAAAGGGATCTATGATAGATCAGTTATTGAAAACTGCTTGCATACCATTCTGAAGCAGGTAAAGAATGGCGATGAGTTTGGGTGGGCATCCATACTTGGCTGGATAGTCATCAAATTGGCTGGATGGTGGCACCCAGAGAGTGGAGGTGGATGGGTCATTTTTGACCTGGAGGGATGTGGGCAGTGGTTCTGGGGCCTGCAGTGTTGAACATCTTTATCAGCTATCTAGATGTAGGCGTGGAAAGCACGATATCCAAATTCACTGACGACTCCAAGATGTGGGGCGAGGTGGGCACAGTGGAGGGGAGGGACAGAATCTAGCTAGATCTAGACAGGTTACAGAGGTTCACGGATGAGAACAGGATGGAATTCAACGCAGACAAGTGCAAGGTGCTACATCTAGGGAGAGGGAACCAGCAACAAACCTATGGGCTAGGGAACACCCCTCTTGTCAAAACAGTGGCATAAAGGGATCTTGGAGTCATTGTTGACTCCAGGATAAACATGAGCCACCATTGCGAGGAAGCAGTCAGTAAGGCTAACTGCACCTTTTTGTGCATCTACAGATGCATCACAAGCAGGTCCACAGAGATGATCCTTCCCCTCTATGTGGCGTTGGTGAGGCCGCAGTTGGAGGACTGCATCCAGTTCTGGGCACCGCACTGCAAGAGGGATGTGGCTAGCATTGAGAGGATCCAGAGGTCAGCCACTCACATGGTCAGGGGGCAGCAGGCCAGGCCCTAGGAAGACAGGCTGAAGGGCCTGAATCTATTCAGCCTCCACAAGAGAAGGTTGAGAGGGGATCTGGTGGCCATTTACAAACCCACCAGGGGGGACCAGTGGGAATTGGGTGAGGCTCTATTTCCTTGGGCACCACTGGGGGTTACTAGGAATAATGGCCACAAATTGTTAGAAAGAAGTGTGGCAAGGTGGGGGTCCCTGACTAGCCACAGGGCCAGTTTCCCCACCTGCCTCTGGGCACGCTGCCCACCTGTCTCTCCTGCCATGCCTTGTTGATTAATTATGTTGTTAATTAAGGCGGAGGTTCCCATTTTTGCACCCTGATATTGGGGGGGGGTGCTATCCGCGGCTCCGTTCCACCCCTACACTATGGCTCAAGCCTCGCAGACGGCATCTCAGGCAGTTGGCTCAACCGTTCCCTTTGCCCATTAGCTGTCAATCATGGGACCTTTGGCTTCCCTAAGCCCTAGCCCTATCTCAGGCCAGTCGGGACCCCAAGCTTCTTTGCTTATCATGGGCGTCTCTCACGGTGGGCCCCTGGCCCTTTTGACCCTTCCAGTCAACGGCCCCAGCATTGACCAGGCGAGTGCCTCAGTTGGCTTTTTGCCTCCTGCCTGCACTTAGGGATTGGGGTCCTTCATTCCTAGCTCAGGTGCTCCTGGAAGCATGCCTGGCCCTGCAGAGTC